AAAAAATAAAATTAAAAAAAGTTTGTGTATCGAGATTTCACTCTGCTCCAGTTCCCAAGAGCCATCACGCAAGCTGCTTCCTGTGACCACGAGCAATGTTTCAGGACCTCAGCTTGAAAGGGTAACTAGGGAGGGTTTTCTAAAGACAAAAGTTCCATGCGGCCCAGGATCATGAGTCTCGAACACGTGAACAAAGACGAAAACGACACTCAAGTGGTACTCATCCTGAGGTTTTTATAGTCATTCATTCCATGAACATTTTCCAAAACTGGTTACAATTTGAAATCTGATTGTACTCACGCTCAAGAAACCCATTATACATTCAAATAAACATTAGTTCTCAAAATGTGCTTTAAAAGGTCGAATACTTGATCAGCTAAATCTGTCCGAATTCACCAGAGACACAAAATCCAAGCAGCAGCAACTGGGTCTCTATCAAGGGGAACGGATTCAACACAAACACAAACCACCAAGGGAAGTCACAGGTCACCAGGCTTCTACCTGGACACCTGTTCCATCAAGGTGACCTATCAGAGGCCCAAGCCTTGTCCACTTCCTCACTTTCTCACCAATCTGCAAGGACCTTTATTAGCCATGAAAGATAAACCTCATGCAAGATGACTTTCCCTAAAAAAAGGCAAAATCTGACCATGAAAGAATCTTCCCTCAATCAGCAACTTTAAGAAAACCCATACATTAACCCAAATGGCCATCTTAAAGTTTGCATATTATCCACTAATGATAGTTTGCAAAGTTCAGTGTTGATAGGCAGCAAAACAGTTCATGTAAGCTTTTCAACTTGAATCTTTCCACAGATTCATCGACCGAAATATTTTTTCAATTAGGCTATTAAATATTTTCTTGTTAACTTTTGACCTCTAGCTATACATTTAAAACATTTCTGAAATTTCGTAACTCATTCCAACAGCAATCCTTCACAGAGAATTAAGGTTTCATTTCTAAGTGTTAAACGAAGGGAGATTACAGAATTGAACAATTAATCTCCCTTAAACAGACAGCTCCCACCTCAACTTACTGTTGACTTTCTAAAGTGAGATGAAGCCATCCACCTTGGCTCATCAGTAGTAAAATAGTAATTCTAAATAAAATTAGATGATGAAGGAACCCTTCAAAATCTGTTTTCATATGGAAACAAACATACATAGTCTGAGTCAAGCAATTTGGAGGAAGAACACGTGGCATGCATGGGAGAGTTTAAAACACAACTTCTTTTTTAATCAAAGCCACAAATTATTCCCTGAATTAGCCTGCCAAGAATCCAACACAAATTTATAAACACTGAGGTAAGTTTAAGGACAGATCCAACATTTGATTCAACTTGCTCTACAAGGTGAACATTAGATATCAAGAGATTGATATATAGCAAAGCAATTTTCTAAATCCAAAATATGCCTAGGCTTTTAAAAGGTTATATATGTATCATCCTTGATGAGAGGTCAAAGATCTACAACAGGCCAGGAATATAACTTTACAATTCTAACTTAGGTGTTGCTGAGGAGTTATATATTTGTTAAATTAAGTAAATAAGTATTGCATCTGTCCTGTCCAAACAAATGCATTATTTCTTCACTTGCAGAGATTCTCAAGTTCATCAAGTGCATCAGGTATTAAGGCCGATGGTAACTTATGTTCACCAGAAAGAACCAACGCCAAGGGCAAAAATAAGGGTTTGTAACAATAAATGAGAAAGAGGGCGATACCCCATATCACCAAGGCAAAAACAAGGTAAAGAAAAGCACTGACCTGCAGTTGGGCGGAGGGTCTAAGGTGATGTCAGCCAGTTCCTTCTGAATCCTGCAAGTGAGAGACAAGTGGCACCATGAGGACCTTGGGGTTCACTGTCTGGAAAGACACCCCTAACCCCGCACTCAGCCAAGGTGGGCAACCTGCGTTGTTAAAAGCCTCAGATCAAGGGAGATTTGGTGGCCTAGTGGCAAGAAGCTGCATTGCAATCCCAGAGACCCACGGTTCAAATCCACTAGATGCTCTGCTGGAGAAGGAGGGACAATCTCCTCCTGTACCAGTCAGATC